CCGCGCGTGTGGAATTCCAGAAGGAATAGTACACGGTTGGATGAAAGAAGAAAACAAATTGTGTTCGTTTGTAGATTCCATAGAAAACGATAAATGAAGAAGACTAGACTTTGTGAAAAATTGGATATAGATGAGTGTTTGTACAAGTGGTTCCTACAAAAGAGTAGTGAAAGAGTTCCTAAAAATGGGGTAATTTTGAAAGCTCCAGCACTTCAATTTAACAAACTACTCAGTAGGGATGGGACATTTAAAGCTTCTGAAGGGTGGCTTTGGAGATGGAAGGTTCAACTTGGGATGTGTCAATTTCACATTGAAGGTGAACCTGCATTTGGTGACAGTGCAGCAGTCAAAGCGTTACCTGAAACTCTACATAAAGCAATTGCAGAAGGTGAATACACTGATGAACAAATGTACAACTGTGATGAAACAACACTGTACTACAAACAGCTTTCAAACAAATCTTTAGATCTTAAAAAAGCACCCAGCAAAGCAGGTTTGAAAACTAACAAGGAAGAGTGACTTTTTACTGTGCCAATATGACGGCTAATTACAAGCTGAAACCATTGTGCATCAGAAAAATTCAAAGTCCCTGGTGTTTCAAGCACATAAACATGCAATGTCTGCCTGAGATTCACAAAAACAGTTTCAGTGCTTGGATGACATGTGACAGTTTTGCCTTCTGGTTTGAATGTGAGTTTGTGCTATCAGAAAGATGCCACTTGTGTTTCAAGAAACTTGAAGAAAAGGCTTTGTTACTTTTGGATCACTGTCCAGCCCATCCTTCTGCTGATGGCCTGAAATTGAAAAATGGAATGATTAAAACTATGTTTCTGCCAAAGAATACTACTGTACTGATTCGGCCAATGGATCAAAGCATCATTCGAGCCTGCAAAACCTACTATTGCAGTGAGCTACTTAGTGGACTTGTAAACTCTGAATTGCAAAATACAGAATTTCTAAATACATTAATGCTAAAGGAAGCTGCATACAGTGTTGGTTTAGCTTGGGAGAGAATTACACCAACTACTATTGTAAACTGCTGGAAAAAGTGTATTGGAAAGGATGGCGCCATGGCAGGAATTTAATTCCATTTACAAAACAAGACATTAAGGCTGCATGTGATGCACTCAGTTTTAATTTAGAAGCAGATGACCTGATGGCTTGGACTGAGGTAGATGAGGAAACTCCGGTTGCACAGCATCTTAGAGAAGAGGATATTGCAGTGTCTGTGAGAAATGGAAAGACAACAGACAAACTTCAAGCCAGTGACTCAGAAAACAATGGTGATTATTCCTGTGAAGTATTGGTACCAAAATTGATCAGAGTCACAGAAAATATTAACGAAGTGATGACATGGTTAGAATGACAAACTGATAGTGAATATTTTCATATGCCGCATCTGATTAATATAAAGCAATATGTCCTGAAAAAACGCAGTCATCAGTTCCAACAAACTACATTACGTGACTATTTTCGTAAGGAGACATAAATGTTAAGTACAGTGGTCTGTGCCAGTAGCATTAGTAAAACATGTTTGAAATGTGCCTTAAATTTCATGTATTTTAGTCACTGGAAAAATATACATAATATCAGTGATTCCAAAATTAGATAAAAGCCAATTTCACATATAACGCGGGTAGGTTATAATGCGAGTACTGAAGCTGTCCCCCAAAACCCGCGTTATAATGAGGTTTCACTGTATAAATATATTTAAGTGAAATTTCATAATGGCAGTCCATATTAGAAGTCATTTAAACTTCCTCAAATGGGGCGCCCTTGTATGGCAGTGCTCCAATGAATCAACACAATATGACACATGTCATGATGCACTGACATAATACCGGGTTACCAGTGCACAATATGTTCCAATAATGGGGACCCTTGGATCCCACTGTTGTGAAACACTGGTTTCTAACAATGAGACCTTCAGTTCTACCATTGTGAAAACCAGGACAAAGAGACATGGACAGGCCCATAAGGTGTTCTTTTCTCAAACTAGAACATGAGGAACACATAAAAATACTCATGGTAAGGCAAAGCATTCATACCTCTCTCACTAGCATCATCTACGAGAATTATTTCCTTCAACAACGGACGTGGTGACCTGTTGATTGCGCTCCATATAGTTCGCATCAGAGTGGACCAAGCTTCATTGTGAAATACAATGACGACAGATGTAGTAGGCAGCAGTGAAGGATACTGCTTTGACTTGCAGCTGAAATCATTCACAGCAACACTGTTCAGATTCAACTTCAATTTGAAATACTGCAATGCTTAGCAGTAGTTATAGTTCACAATGATCTTAAACTAAATCTATTCCCTCATTAGTAAATAGCATTCCTACAAGGCAACACAAAGTGGAAAAATGTAAGTAGGAGGCTAACTGATGGTTGCTAAGCCAGTCAAGAAATTCCTCACATATTAAGAAACCACCACCATGTTCATCAAAGACAACCACTGGACTATATCCTCAATCAGTTGAATCCAGCCATCAACACCTCACCCAATTTTTCCATGATTCATTTTTATATTACACTCTCTATAATGACTGATGCTCTCTAACAGTCTCCTCCCTTGAGGTTCTTTAACTCAAGCCTTATCATGTTCCTCAAATTGGAGACCACCTGTATATATTCTAAGCTCATACAAAATAAACTTTGAACATACTCAAAATAATATGAAATTAAAATAAAAGTGCTAAAGAAACCTACCCACTGAGTCTGACATCTGTCAATGACCGGTTGAAGGAGATCATGTCACTTGCCAGAAGATTAAACTGATTCAGTTTAAATTTCTCCTTCATCAGTCCTTCTTGATCAGGTGGAATGCGAACAGCCTTGCCAAGTTCACCAGGTTGACCATGTTGTGGCACCACTGTTGGGGCTCGTTTCCATCGTTTCAGCTCCTTCACTGGATATTTACCCTTTTCTGTTGTTTCTGCTTTCCCTCGATCATGAAGCTGCTCATAAAGAATTCCCCGTCCCTTACTGCTTCCTCCACGACCGTGGTCCGCGGCATGAAATTCCTGAGAACTGCCAACATGTTCCACATGAGTTGCTTCGCTGTTACCACTGCAACCCCAGCCGGATCCCCCAACGCAATCCGAGTAGAATGTCAACACAACTACATCCACTAGGAACCACACCAGTGACGTGAGCAATATCACTTTGCAAGTATGGATACGGACTTTAGTCCGAAACATGGTGTGCCCCTACCCACTCCGTTCCACACTTTGGTGCAAAATAAGCGGTGTACTATGTACTCATTTTCTCCTGTAATATAGTCACTGAGATCTTGTTCAATATGAGCTACAGTTCACAACCACATGTATGATATGTAAAATAGGTGCCTCTGAAGATAAACCAGCTTGCAATATTAAATTGGACAATAATTATGTCATACTGGAGTCAGTTTTTCAATTGCAGGAGGCAGTCGTCCAAGAACACTTTTATCCCTGCAAGTCCTGAAAAAAAAAGAGAGATTCATTCAGGACAGTATGAAAGACAATGAAAGTCTGCACCTCAGTGTAATCAGTCTTAACTTCAAATTATAGTTTTTTCTAGGAATCTGTATTACAAATTTTCTTTGTACATCCAGTTTCCTCCATTTTATCTCTTGTAGTGTTGCCAGACAACCATATAGTTTTTATAATGAATAAAGTGGTCACATCTACTGCTGTTTAGCTGCTTGGTAACCATTTAACACAAAAACCGATCACTATGCCATGCCACAATGGTGGCCAACAGAAAAATGTGTGAAGTCAATTCCTTTTTAGAGCCTGAATTTATACATAAGTACAAACAAGTCAGAATTTGTTTCTTATAATGCCCTAATTTCAATGTGTCAGCTAAAATGTTAATGTATAAACAGAAGTTACAAAAGCTTGAAGTAATTTCAACACTACAGAATATAATACTTCAAAAAATCTGGATGAAAAATGCACATTTTAGGTCTGATTGCTTAATTTTGATATGATCCAATAGTCCTTAGGAATGTCATTTCATGTTTTAATTTGGCTGTCTTATTGTTTAGTTAGGGTCCAGTACTCCGATCTGTATATCAGTGTGACTATGGCAATTGCATTGTAAAATGTTATCGTAGCTTCTGTACTTGCTCTCCTTTCTAGCACTATCTGATTTTTTACTACACATATACTGAACATTTGTTTAATATTAAAATAATTAAAATGGTTATTATTTACAAATAAAACTACATAATGATGAACTTAAATATGTGTACTCCTCCTCCAGCATTGTCAGGGTGATTAAGTCGAGAGGAATGAGATGGGCGGGGCATGTAAAGCGCATGGACAAGACAAGAGGTGTGCACCAGGTATTGGGTGGGAAGCCTGAAAGGAAGAGACTGCTGGGGAGACCTAGATGTAGATGGGAGGATAATATCAGGCGGTATCTATGGGAGATAGGAGTTGAAGGAGACGGATTTTGTTGGCCCAGGACAGGGTCCAGTGGAGGGTTAATTTGGTGATGTATCTTTGGGTTCGGTAAGCCATCTACTTAGTTATTATTTACCAATATATTATATCCCAGGAATTTAAATGCTGACTTTTCCAACTGCTTTCCCATTTAACTTTTTTTCAACTCTTACTGGCAATCTATCTCTAAAATACCATAATAAATAATGTCATTATTTAGTACAGTTCATAAGAACTAATCGTCCCTTTCTGTAGTGAGATTCCTATCAAAGGACTTAGCAATCCAACATGTAAAAATAAGTCTTAATTGCCACATGATGGAGCCTTCACCTGTCTACAGCACAACTTTTACTTCTGTGAACAGAAACATAGTGGTCAATTCATCTTATTCCACAGAACTGAATTTTCCCTGACTGGTAGAACCTCGCTCCACAAATCCACAAATTACGTTACAACATGAAGATTCATCACCAAGTTCTCTAAAAGCCATTTTAACATTACCGCCTATCTACTTCCTGCATGCTGACATTATATCCACATTCTAATCATGAACTAAGTTTCTATAACTATGTCCTGTTGTTATTTTGCAGAAATAAATACTTTTGACTGTTTTTTGTATACACAAGCACAATACAAATTTATTCAAAATGGATTCAGATGCAGAAATAACTAATGCATGATAAATATTTCTAAAACAAATAGCTACTTTTTAGTTGCAAACAAAAAAGCCAACACACATAGCAGAAGAAATATATAATTTAAATTCTGTCTAAATTTGTTTCTATAACGATTTTTCTAACGTGGAATAAACATCCACCAGTAAGCAGTGCACCAGTTTCTAACAGAACAACAAAATGCAATATATGCTACAGATACATAAATATATCCTCTCATTAAAAACATCTGTCAAGACCTGTTAACCTTGAACAAAATGGATGCAGAAATCCTTGATATGCCCTATCCCTATGTTTTCATTCAGATTTCCATTGTTGCAGATTTTCAATGATCTAATCTAAAGTTCATCAAAAATACCAGAAACTTCACTGCTGATCACATATGCAACTTAATTCATCTAATGGATTAACCTTATCAGAAAAATGTTAGGTAAGATAACTAATTCTTAGTTCATAAACTGTCTAGGTTCTGTAGTGTCAAAGAGAACAATAATTTGCAAATGACAAACCAGAAAGAATATGGAAGTAGTCATATTTTATTATAAGATAATATCCTGTAATTTACCTAGAGAGACAAAGAACTGTCACAGAAATATTACTACCTCTGGGCTAACTGAACATAGAACCTCTTGAATATGAAACTGGATTCCTAATCTTTTAATCATGACATCTGATTGGTAGATTAATATTCTGCATAAATATAAAAAGACTAAAAGATTTACCATCCATAACCAGTAAATAGGCAACCATAGTAGAATTTGTTATGCTTCCTACTAGAGGTTATACATTCCCTAATCTTTCTCAGTTTCATATGTTTTTATGTTCATATTCCATGTAGATTTGCAGATCTGTATGATGTCCTGTAAAGTAACTCAGAACTTCATAGAACCTGACTGAAATTCTTAACAGTCTTGTCAGTCAGACATATTTTGAATATGGCAATAATTACGTGTATAACTGAATTTTATTAGTAAAAACTTGGAAATAGTTATGGTTCAAATCTATTGATACAAAACTTGCCATATTGCTTGGCTGATAAAAACATGAAGGATAAGATAAGCAGGACATAAAGAACACATGGAGGAAAAAAGAAATAATACAAAATTTTGGTAAGAAAACCAAGTTAAAGGCAACATAAAAACTTTGGTATTCAGAGAAGAGATGGAACAGACTGAAATGTCTTCTGATTAGGTCAAATAAAGGCCTTTTGTAAATATGGCAATGAATAACTGGAAATTCCTGGATTACCTGAGTAAATACAGCACAGAGTTCAATACACATGTACAAGAAACAAATTCTAGGAAAAACGTCCTCCTACAAAATTACACAATTTAGAGATCCACACTTCTACTTGCTCACATGTTATATACAACAGGTACAGCCTTAAATTTTTATTGCAAAACCATATTTGTAATTGGTAATGTGTAACTAATTTTTTTTTACTTAATTTGTAAACGTGTTTACGATGATCTCCATACAAAATTTCACATACTGTTAAATACAGATTTTTCACACCCACCCTGTTGTTTACATTGTATGAAAAACCTAATTACCTTGACAAATACCAGATACATTCTTAGACCAAATTTCAGGATCTCACATTATGGCTCCCTACCACAGTCTTCATAAGTACTGTAACTTACAAACAACAAAATGGAGAGTATAGACAAACACATGGGAATTTGATTTACAGATAAGGTTGCCATACTACTTCTCAGAGAGAGTTAAATTCAGTGCAAATGTTTCCACTTTTCTTCTCTACACTTCACCTCTACTAAATGTTAATGACGGAAAATACAAAATTTCACATGTGGGGTGGTGGGAGGTGTGTGGTTTAAAATTCACATTATGCTGGTGACCAGTTTCATCACCACATATAACTGGAACAAAAGTTGACAGTGGAACCACGGTTCCGGAGAATCTGACGTAAATATGTCTCTGTAATGTAATGAAATGTAATGTGATGAAATGTAATGTAATGTAATAATTCTTATACAAGATAAGTACTTGTGATATTCTAAAACGTTTTTACCAGCACAAAATTATCTAGTCTACGACGCACTTCTTCTACAAGTGATTCACAGCTCAGCTCTTTCCGCAATAACGAAAGCAGATTGTTGATAGCAGTAATGTAACACAACAGTGCCGAGTAAACAAATGATGCAACAATTAGTTTCTTAGGTAACATAACAATGCATGCAGGAGTTCATACAAAAGATGACCATTGTTGTCAGTCCATATTTACACACTGCTGATATGGATCTTACACAACTTTGTTACGCTTTTTTGCCAAATGACCCTTCCAAATAGACGTATTTACGTCAAAAAAATATCACCAGGATTTAGTGGACCAGTGTTTGAGGTTAGCCTTTTCAACCCAACTGAGTGGGTTCCCCCTCTTCCCTGAGAACAAAGAGAGATCAGGCTTTCAAAATGTTGTGGGATTTTTATAATACCAAATGATGGATACAGCCAAAAAAACTCAGTAATCCAGTTTGTAACACATCTCCGTCAGAACCCTTCAGAATCAATAAATAATACAGTTACTGAAACTTCATATCCTAGAGATACCACATTTTCAACCCACCTACCTTACATTTGCTATGTAATTTTGTTTTACATCTAGGAACTATATAAAAAACTTTATTATTCTGTTAAACATCTGACAAAGGAAATTTCTCTAAATAAGGTAATACATGTATGTAGAATGCCACATACAATTTTTTTTATTTTTGAAACACTTAAAATTACACCAAATATACGTCATTTTGGTACACTTTTGAGGAACTGGTGTACAGCTGATGATTACAGCAAATTGCAAACATGTTAAACATTATTACAAATTTTATGAACAAAGGATGTGGTTTTATAATTCACTGGCACATACTTCTAATATGCTCAAGAATGTGAAGTTCATTCAACCAATCCTGAAATTCCAAACATCAAAGAACTTTCGATTCTTCCTATCTTGATAACTTCGCCTACAACAATCAGACTGCACATGCAGGGACCTTGCATATTCCGTACGAGGAAAACATAAGCCAAGTGATTCGTAACTATAAAGAAGCACATACTTAGGATATCTACATATGATAAAGACGACACATATGATTTAGTGACGTTTAGACCACGTAGAATTATAGATTACGTATTTCTCCTTCTATAGATTTTATGAGTAACGGAGTCAGCAAAGTACCTACTATATAGTAAAAGTTGATAATTATGATACACATTTCACTATTTACCGAATTCAATAATAATAAACATTTCACACCTGTTCCTTCTGTTTTTAACTGCACTCCATTATAATTCTATCCAACTTCTAATCGTCCCACAAGGTGGTACCACATATCAGCCACGTCACACATGGTCACTTATTAGTCAGGGTTATGACTATGTTGTCATAATTCATGGTTATGACTAATGCTAGTTCTCACGAAATTGAACATGCCATGTTGGTGCTGTATTTGATCCAAAGTATCCCCATAGTTGTTTCCCAATTTGTTTTTCATTCTCAAAATTTGCTATTAATTTCCTTTCACAAGAATTTTAAAATCCAATCCAGCTTGTGGTACAAAAACAATAATAAAGCCTCGGAATTAAATGGATTGTGTGGAACCACCCAGGCAATGCTTAAAGGCCTTAAGAAATGGAAGTGGAATGTGAGGAACCTACATAGAACAGGGGCGTGGGAGGTAGGAAAGTATAGTTTGGTTGTCGCAGGAATACAGGTTAGATGGCCTGATAATGGAAAACTCACAAAGGGAAACAAGATCTTCAGCGAGCAATTAAAAAATAGAATTTTTTTAACGATATGCTCTCATATTTAATCCCTTGTGTTCGATAGTGTGATATTATTGTAAATTTTCACACACGAACTGAAGACATTGACCATATGGTAAAGGATAGTTTTTACAGAGAATTAGAGTATTTGATCAAATTGGAAGATACCACAAGAAAATTCTGCTCGGGAGATTTCAATACCAAAATTGGTTGGGAGGATATTTTAAAACCAACTATAGAGACTGAGAGTTTAAATTAATTTAGTAATGACAATGGGGTGAGATTAATGAACTTTGCCACATCCAAAAATCTGATCATCAGAAGCACTACATTCCCACATTTCGGTATCCATAAGCATACTTGGATTTCCCCTGATGGGATGACCCATTATCAAATTGGTCACGTTCTAATCATTCGGTGGAGACAACCAAACAACGTAGGTTTACGATCTTATAGTGATACTGACCATTATATAGTGATTACAAACTTGAGGGCAAGACTCTCGGTCAGAAAACAGGCAGGGCTGAAGTACAAGACTGGGCGATGTAGAAACTAAGCAAGAGTATCAGGCAAAAATTTCGAATAGGTTCGCAATCATAGAAAATGTCTTCTTTCTTCTTCTACGGACGCTAAAGTCCATGATGAACCTTGGCCTCTTTTACGACTGACTTCAATTGGTCCTGATCCTGTGACTTTCGTTTCCAATTTTTAACGCTCACTGTCTTCAGATCTTCTTCAACTGAATCCTGTCACCTGATAAGACCCTGGCCACACAATCGTACAAAGTACGTCCGTTGCAATGGACGTACTTTTTACGGACGTAGGTGAGGACACCACACGAGCGTAGTGTGATGCGTCAAGTGCCCCAAGGAAGCCGGAAGAAGCCGTTGCGTTCTGTGGTCTTGCTTACCTGTATATATAAAAAAAGTGGTGGGTTCATCCTATGAACTCAGTTAGATTCCGCCATGGCCATTTTCACACACTATACCAACCTCTACGAGAAGACCCGTCGAACACCCTCTGGTCTGCGCAGAGTTAACTTCCTGCAAGGCTTCTGCTTCTGCATTGCTAAAAGGTGTCACAGCCACCTCATTCATCCTACTTTCACTATATCTGATTCATTGTATAATTTATAAAGTTCGTGGTTATATCTAAACCTCCATATACCATTTTCCTTAATTGGGTCATATTGTTTCTTAATATCCTTCTTTCAAAGTTTTGGAGCATATTTCAAATTTATCCTTGTGAGCCGCAAGCTTTCACTTCCATAGGTATGTATAGACCTTACAAGTGTCTTATATAGAGTACATTTTGTCTTGTCTCCCTAAATATCGTGAGCTTAATTGTCTCTTTAGGCCATTACAATTCTCTGTTATATTTCAGTAGTAACATTATTACCTTCTTTTAGAATAGATCCAAGTTATTTGAATTCTTTCACCCTTTCAAATTCCTGGTCATCCACTTTGAGCATTCTTGAATTTGTTGGCATTTTTGTTATTTCTATGTATTTAATTTTTTGCATGTTCAATGTAGGTCTCACTTCCTTTGATGTTCTACAGAGGTTTATAGTTGCTGCTTTCAGCACCCCTTTGGTTCTCCCCACTAAAACAATATCATCTGCATATGAAATATCTTAATTGTTTTATTATATATAGTTCCTTTAGTTTCTAACCCCGAATCTCTGACCACCTTTTCTGATTCTAACTTAAACAGAACACATGACAAAGCATCTCCCTGCCTTAAACCCACTAATGTTCCAAATGGTTCTGATGGATTATTCTGCAATTTAACTCTACATTTTACATGTTTCAAAGTTTCTCTTACTAGTCTAATTAACTTCTGGGGTATTTTAAACTCCTTCATAGGCTCGAGTAATTTCTCCCTATTAAATTGATCCATAATTAAACTTGGTAATCTAAAAACATAAAAATGTAGTACTTACGCATAGGGGTGGCAGATATGCTCTGCGTGGGCCTGCTGTTCAGGAACAACTTCATCCTGCTATACCTGACATATCACTTTATGGAGAGTTATAACCAAAACATTTTGTTTTATGTTGAGTAATTCAGCCATTATATTCTCTGGTCCAAGCGATGTTATTTTTTAACTTTTCTGTTGCGTCCTTGATATCCTCTATAGTCAGGTATTCATTTTTGATATTTCTTCTGCTCCATTAGTCTCTTGTTTTGTTTCCTTTATCATGCAACTTACTTCCACTTCTGGACCTCCCAACAAATCCTGAAAATATTGTTTCCCCTTATTCATTATCACTGGGGTTTCATTTAAAATCAGTCCATTACTATCTCTGCATGTGTGGTATAAATTCCTTCCCAATATCATTAACCAATAAAATCTCCCACTCTCCTTCTGTGTATAGAGGTTTTCAACTTGTTTTATTTGTTATTCATAGATCTCCCTCATTTGCTTTCAAAGTATTCTCTTTTCTATTCTCCTCATTTCCTTATACTGTTCTTCAGCCTCTCTTGTGTAGTAATTTTGTATCATCCTACGATAAGCTTCGTTCTTATTTTTGGTGGTTTCTTTACATTCATCATCATACATTTAATTTCTTTCAACTCTTTCATTTTGCCAACAATTCAACTGCAGTTTCTGTGATTATTTGTTGTAGTGTTTGCCAATTTATGCTGTTTTATCCGACTCTTCAACATGGGTTACAAACCTATTGACATATTTCTGTTTAACCTCTGATTTTTTTAGCCTATCCCTATCAAATTTATTATATGTTTTAGTTGCCCTTCTATCAGTCATTATGACTATTTGGCATCTCAACCCAGATATTAAAAAATAATGATCAGTATCAGAATTAGATCTTCTAAAACTTCAAACATCTAGCTGATTAACTGTTCTTCTGTCTGGTTTTCTCCATGCTCCTTTATGTGGGAATAATTTTCTGTTGATGCACTGCAAAATTTATGAGTTGCATTCCATTACCAATGTTTTCAGCATGTAAGCTGTGGCCTCCCAAAACTGTTCTAACCCAGCTGTAGTTTCAAACATTAGCATTAAAATCACCTATATAATTCTTTATGTTCCAATGTCATATATCTCAGTATAAAATGCAAAATCACTTACCATTCATGAGAACAATCCTGAACCACTGAATACCTGACATGTAAACAATGTGAACATGTTAGTAACTTTTGCACAGTCATACACTGTAATGTCATGACCCAGTGTCACTCAGAGAGGAATACAGAAAATTGTAATGCATTATAAAGAACAGGAGGTATCCAGAAACATATAATTTATTAACTTAAATTATACATATACAATGGATCACAAAATTGTATAATTATTCATTTACAGTTGTTCCTAGCCTCACAGTCTGCTACTTCAAAAGCCATTAGAGAGAGAGCTGGACACACACATGGACAGAAAACCCATTGTTCCTTGTGATATATAACAATGTCTCATTTTAAATTATGCCAAAAGTTATTATTTCTGCTGAGCAGCACTTGAGGGACATCAGCCATAACTTCTAGATTCACAAAATCTTAATGCAATCAAACCAGCTAATTTAAACAAGGTTATTTGTGATAACAATAAGATGCGAGGATGAAATTAATTACTCTTTCTTCCACTGGCTGGAAAGTTACTGAAGAACTGCACACACTACAAGCCTCTGGCCTGTTTCAACCCTTGATGAATGTGACTAAACCTCATCACCTCCGCCATGCACCAAACAGGATTTGTTCTTGTAATACGTAAGTCACCACCACATGAGATTATGCAACAAACCTTACAGCTGTTTCCGACTAAGTCTTGCTTTCTTCCTAAGGATGTCACTGATGTTCCAGTCATCACTAGACAGAGCACCAGCACCGTTCATAATACAGCGCACCACCACCGTGTGGTCATACAACAGTGAAGGCAGCAGCTGCAAAAAGTGAATCAAATTCGAGTGATGTCACAGCCATGCCAAGTACTTCCAGAACTTCGGTTGTATCTGGGCCAGATTATCAGCTATCCCAACTGAGGTCTTCCATTAACTTTCTCAGAATAATATTTGCAAATGGGGTGTGACTGTCTACTTCCAAAACCTTACCTACTCAGCACACACAATTATTTTACCTTATTATTTGACGCTATATAACCTCTGTAGTTGAAAGTGTTATTAAAAAATTCCGGGACTCAATCATCAATATTTTTTCTGCTTCATATTTTGGGCACTGAGATGGTAAGACGGGCAAAACAGACTATGCTGTGAAAAGAATGACAAACTCCATGGAGCAGAGTACTCCTTGAGAAAAAGTTAATTATTCAGCTAGTCAATGAACGTCCTATCTTTTATGGAACCCAGATTCATCCTCTCCTGAGAGGATGATACTGGAATTTATCTGCAGGAAATATGGAGGAATGGTATGAACTGGATATACGAGGTGCGATCGGAAATTTTCCAGACTGCGCGTTGTCATGATGCGTCGCATGTGGAGTTCTTCCTTTAGAATCAGCTGACAGGTCCCATAGCCTATCCCAACAATGTCGCACAAGTCGTTGATGGTACGACGTCGATCTTCGTAACATTTTCGGGCGTTGTGCTCGAAGATGGTCGTCCAGAACGCTCGTCAACATCATCATCGACAGAGGTTCGGCCATTTTTAAAACGTGAATGCCACACAAAAGTTGGTGCACGACCCATTGCGGACTCCCCAAAAGCTTGCTTTAGCATTTCATAGGTTTCCGCAGCCGTTTTGGCGAGTCTTTGGC